GCTTTAAAGTGATAAATAACTAAGCTTTTTGATAAGAATAATTTTTCTAAATTTTCATACAGTATGCTTTTCATAATGCTGAATTCTGAAGTTCTAAAACACCATAATGCACTTACTTGTTACAATTCAAGAATTCTTTATGAACAAAATTGATTGAATATGGAATATATGCACAATTATAGATACCAATTTACAACATTTGCAATGTATGAAATTCCAGTGATTTGAATTGCAACAAGATGAATCCAGAAGCAGAAAGACAAACAGTCTATGAATAGAATCAGTTTACAGTAACCTACGCTGATATGCCAACTGCAGATATAGCTCATAAAATATTTACTAATGAAGAATTTTGCTCATCTTTTCAGCTGATTGTAGCAAAGGCATTCTAAAATTAAACTATCAATAATAGGGCAAAAAAAATTGTGTTGCTCTATCACAACAAACCAAAAATCTATATCGCTTTCTTCGTTTTTTTTTTTTTTTTTTCAGATTTACAAAGGAAGCCAAATTACTGTATTATGGTTGAAATGGCCACTTTTCAAAATTTGATTAATAAATTTTGCAACTAACCCCCTACCCCACCTGGTTACCACCTTGCCACAAAATATATGGTCGGCAATGAATTCTAAAACTAAGCCTAGATAATATTGTATGAAAAAAACAGACCCAGAATTCCAAGTGTCACTGAAGCTTATCAATATTCTATGGAAAAATGCGGCCCAGCAGAAAGACTAACTATGAGAGTCAGGGTTCAAATCAGACGCCAGACACTTTGTTTGATAGGGCCTACCCTTGTACCCTATTAATCATGTTTTCTCTCTGCACACATTAGCATTTGTGTATCAAGTTCAAGTTCAAAAGAACATTTATTTCTCAAAAGTAATAATAATGCATATATAAAATAATAAATAAACAGCAAAGTTTGAGGGGTGAAACCCAGAAAGCGGAGCTTGTGTAGGGCTGCCCTGAAATAAACACACAGAAAAACCAAAGCCAAAACAGGACTGGACAGGACAACAGGAGACAAGACAGACAAAGCAGACAAAACAAGGATGCTCAGAAATGCAATTTTTTTTCTTTTATCATTTTGGGACAAAAACAAAATGTAACGAGTTGGTAATGGAGATCAAGAATGGGTAAAAGGAGAAAATTATGCATAACTTGATAAGAATTGTTTTTTCAGTCTTGAACAGAAGTTTTTTTAGAGTAGGAATTATAAATGGAGCGAGGGAGATTGTTCCATAACTTAGGACCAGTATATTGAATATTGTGCTGGAAAGAAGTGGTTCTATGAAAGGGAATATGAAGATGATTTGAAGAGCGGGTAAAATGACTATGATAATCAAAATTAAAATTAAGTAATGATTTGAATTGAGGGGGGAGAGAGAAATTTACCCATGAAAAACATAAAAGCACATTGCTGAAGATGATTAATGTTATGAATTTTTAGAAGATCAAGGGAGGGCTCGCGGAGGTGCACCCGACATAATTCGAACGGCTTTCTTCTGAAGGAGTAACAGTTTATTAAGATGGGAGGGGTAAGTGTTGGACCAGACCAAGTTGCAATAATTCAAGTAGGGAAGGATCAAAGAACAGTATAAAACACGAAGAATATTTTGGGGAACAAAAAAGGATAACCTGTAAATAATGCCGATAATTTTAGCAATTTTATTTTCAACTTCAGATATGTGTTTTTTCCAACTTAAACGGCTATCAATAACAACACCTAAAAATTTAGTTTCATTAACGAGGGGGATTACCTGATTATTAATTTTGAGTTGATTTATGTAATTATCAAGTGGTCTATGGACATTTTGAAAGATAATGCAATTTCACTTGTTTAAATTGACAAAGAGTTTATTAGCAGAGAAATATTTGAGAACATTAGGTAAATTATCATAGGGAATTTTAAAAAGGGAGTCGATATCATTAGCCGAATGGAGAAGGGTAGTATCATCTGCATATAAATGAAAAGAAAATAATTTGGAAGAATATTTCATTTGTGAGTTGAAGAAGTGCAGTTGAAGTCATTCAAGTATCTTAGAAAAAACAGAGAGTACTGAATTGGAGTGATATTAGTAGAAATTGATCTGTCACCGGACTTAAAAATTGGAGTTACTATTGCCAATTTTAGGCTATCAGGAAAAACACCATTTGACAAACAAAGATTAAAGATAAAGGAGAGGGGTTCAGAAATTAAATGGATGAATTTTTTCAAAATGGACGAATTTATACGGTCGATACCAGGTGCTTTGCTATTTTCAAAATTTGTAACAATGGAAGTGATCTCTTCAGTGCATACAGGGTTAAGAAATATAGAGTTTTATGTATATACATTGTAGGGTGAGACTTTTTTTATTCCTTGTTTCGAGTACTGATTTTTTTAAAGATCATTGGAGGAAGGTGGAATAAAAATAAAAATAAAATTTTGTTTTCTTATTTAGCACATAGTTTTGCTAAAAACATGCAGATGGAGGAGAAAAAAAAAATGTTATTGGTAAATGTAAAATAGGATGGTTAAATGCTTCAAATTTATATAATTAGTTAAATGTTTCAAATATATATAATTAAGAAGATGGTAGGATGGTTAAATGCTTCAAATTTATATAATTAGTTAAATGCTTCAAATTTATATAATTAGGAAGAAATATACATATCTCATCGTCATTGGCGATGAGTCTAGGGCCGCCTAGGTCCCCCCAGCGTACGGGGTCTAGGGATGGGGATTTTGTTCAAATTTTAGTTTGTGGTTGGGACCCACGAGAAACGATCAGAAATGAAACATTTTTGATCTAGGCCTCTTAATTAGCGAGATACGTGCTAACAAAGTTTCAGCTAATTAGCGATACCTTGCATGTTTAACTGACCATATCTCGGTAAGCATAGCACCTATTGAGCTAATTTTGGTGTCATTTTTAAGCTATTGAGTAGCTCTATAACTTTTTAAATAAATGCTATAGATTAAAAAGTTGAATAAAAAAAATATATCTTTTTTCCCTTCAAAATCATTCTAGAGGTACATTATGATGTAAAGAAGCTTCCCTATAAGTTTGGTAATGGGCGTTCTAACAGTTTCTGACCAATGAGCAATTATATATGGCATGTCCATTTGAAATTGCACTTTTTGTATATATTAACACTCTGCCGTGTATAGTGACAACAACAGTAAACCAAACTGCTATTTTTTATATTGGTATTGCTATTTTTATACCTCCATGGTATGAGAAAATGAAGTTAGATCACTTAGAAATTCAAGGTTGAAATTCCTTAGGAAATAGTGGTGTTAGTGGGGGTAGGGGGAATTTTCCCCTCCCCGGACAGGCCTAGACCCCCTTTTGTCCAACGGCACAACGAGGTCTTCTGATCAAAAAATAAAAAATAATTTGCCTGTCCAAATAATATTTTGCTTGCCAATCCCTAGTTTTGTGGTCTAACAGCACAATATGGGCTATATTACAGTATTACAGATACTATGCCATAAAAACTCTCCCTACCAGGAAGTTTTTATTGTGGGATCCAAAGTGGGACTCTATTTAACCATTTGGTTTGGACCACTCGTCGGCAAATATCTTCAGCCTCTTTAAGACTGCAAATAACTAATACATTTGTAGATGCTGCTTTTACCCATCCACTAGTATAGACACATGTACCCCTGGGTAGCCCCTACTTGTTTCAACAGATCAGAGTACATTTAGAGTTCACATGCCAATTATGTTCACTGGGCCTATGGTTGTGTCCTTATCGGAGGGACTTCACAGATTGAGTGTCTAAAGGAACTCTTTACCACCATGGTTGGGGCTGAATTAATTTCTGATTATGGCACGTCTAGACAGCCGGAAATGGCACTCTCAAGACTTAAATTTGAATATAATTTTCTATTTATCTCCAATTTCAAAAAATATTCTTAATTTAGGGGGTCCGGGCCACCTTGAATACACCACTGGGTACTGATTCTTGAGTGCCTAGGTATTCTGTAGTGCTGTGGGAGTCTTGGCGATGCTATTTTTGTGTGCCTGTGTATCTTCAAATTTTGTTCCTTCCTTAGAGTCTCATCAGAGTCTAACAAGATATTATTATGTTGCTCATCATGTTACATTTTACTTGACATCTGTAAGACGACAGTTACTAGTTAGTGTATGGCTTTCCATCTCAACTTTGAAATGCGAGATGCTTTCAGTCTCAATCTCGCAGTGCAAGGAGCCTAATCTCGCATTCCCTACAGCTTTTACAAGTACCTAGTGAATCGTGGAACCCAACAATTGCCTATGCTTATCATATTATTATCAAGGTTTTACAAAGCAGGCAACTGGGAATATTCTAGAATGGAAATAAATCATGAAACACAACACTGAAGAATACTGCATGTTTACAGTTACAAAAACAACTAAGAAGGTGTGGAAACGTCAAATATAAATAGATCATAATTGAAAGAGGTAAAATGCACATATAAAAATTATTGAATTAACATTGTAAAAACAAAGAAAATTAAAAAAATGAAATTTTAGCCTAAATATAATATGATTACTCAAAGAAAAAAATACAATAAATTTCATTAGTCCTTATAATAAAATCATAGAAAGAAATTTTGGTTGTATAGCTTTTCATATTAAAACATAAAAAAATAAAATTCAAATTGCAAAGGACTAAGTACAGTGCACAAAAACAGCAAAAAAGTAAACATTAAAACTCGTTAAAAAAAATGCAATCCAAAGTTAAAAGTAAACAAGTATAGAGATTTGATAAGCATCTCCAGAACCCCACATCCATTTTCTCCCTCATTGAAAGTGATTCGTAAAATTTGTAAATGAAACATGAAAATTAAGGTGGTTTATAGTGGTAATTGAAGCAGAACAACAGCCTTCTAATCCCAAGGTCCTGTGTTCAAATCCTTACAACAAAAAAAACTCTACTCCCCAAGGCTTCAATCCTGTAACTGGTGATAATTAAAAAATTAACAATCAAATACATTATCATGAAAATTACAGATTGCAACTGACCTCAATAGCTGTCTTGAATGTCTGGGCTTTCACTGCATATGGGTCCCACACACCATATTCATTCATGTCTACGATTGTCCCCTTCTCGCCATCAATTCCCCAGGTTGTGTTGCCTTCCTTAGCATGCTTAGCCCTCAGAGCTGTCAGGGTACGGATTGTGTTACTGCCACAATTCTGGATCAGGGTACGTGGAATGACCTCGAGGGCAGAGCTTACTGCACGGTATGGCCACTGTTGTACTCCCGTAATTGTTTTAGCCTTCTCACTGAGGGCCTAAGTGTGACAAATAGAAAATCTTTGTTAAATTTCTTAGTTCAGTACTTTGTTAATACTGTACAAACATTAAGGTTAGAAATAATGTATTGCTGTTTAAATATGTACAGTACTTACAAATGAGACTGCCATTTCAATAGCACCCCCACCAGGAACAAGGTATGGTTCCTGAACAACATTACGAGCCACGTTCATTGCGTCTTGGAGGTTTCTTTCAACTTCATTTAAAATATCCTTACTGGCGCCTCTCAACATGATGGTACATGCCTTTGGGTCTTTGCACTCAGTGACAAAACAGAAATACCTTAAGAAAAAATATAAAATAATATATAAATATGTATATTTGATCACATCAAAATTATGATAATCTCACTATGTAAACTGAATATAATTAATTTTATCAACAAAATATACCAACAATATGCCGGCTGTGTATAATAGGCAAAACTGCAGCATTCCCTTAATGAAATAATGGAATCGCAATTGTATTACAGCACATTATTTTCTTGAGTGCTGCAGAATACCCTCAAGAATATACTGGCATCTTTCTTGCCATTCCCCTAAATTTTATGTCATTTCATTAGTTTTAGTGTAATCTTGCTAACAGACAGACAGCAGTGAATACTAACCACCATCGCAGAGGTAACAAGTTCTCTATGCGCTTTAAAGACACACATAATCTAGCTTAGTATCACAAAGCATGTTTAAATTTAATGTGAGTAAAGTCATTCTGTTTGCACATATGCTGTGTAACAGGCTAGATTGTTTACATGCTTTGACATTTGACATATTCACATGTAATTGAATTTAGCTGAGGTCACTACTTACTCATCACCAATTTTCTGGACTTCAAAGAGACCAGCTCCGGTACCAATGTCTTCTTCCCTCAATTCATCAGTGCGGTTGGCAATGGTTGCCCCACAAGCTCTGTAACATATTTATTTATTTATTACCAATTCGACAAATAGATGAATATATACAGTGGATTAAATTGCTTGGAGATTGTCTAGAGCAAGACATGGGGAAGGCCCAACACCATCAGTGGTCAACTCTGATCTCCAAGATAAAATAACATAAAACAATTATCATAAGAAAATAAAAATGTGAAACATATTACCAGGATTTAAACATATGGTCATTATAGAAAGTGTGGTTGCACCATGATGAAATGATGTGATTACAATAACGGACTTTTAGATGACTATTATGGACTAAAATGTTCACACCAAGATAGAATGATGTGACTGCACAAGATAGAAAGATGTGAACATATCTTGTTAAAATATATTTAATACATGACTACAGAATTTGGTGCCACTTTGATAGTATAAAATATGTAATCACACCAATGTATTAAGCATACCACAATAGAATTATGTGATTGCATAATAATGAAATAAATAATGCAATCACACCAATCAACCACTTAAATAAATAATACATTAACTCTAATCATATTGGTGAAAAATAACTTACAGTAGTTCTTTAAATGTTAAACGTCATTTTCTAAGTTTTTATTATTTTATATAGGGCTCTGCAACTAAAAGCTTGCTTATTCACAGAGTTCCGTTTTCATGAAAGGATCATTTTCTCTTTATTATTATGAATTATCATCACATACTTTACAAATTGTTATATTATATGACAAGAGTGAAATAAATATTACTTGAATTGAATTGAATTAAAAACAGCACCATGTTTGTGCAATCATTATAACATTTTAATGCATCCACAACCATAAATTTTTAAAAATCAAACAATCATAATAATACTCTGTAATTACAATAATTATAAATTTGTTAACTTCATATATCAAACATTCATATTACAAATTGGATTCATAACCAACCAATTTTATTTGCTCTTTTATTTAATTAAAATTTTAAACAGAGAAAAACGGTAAAAATAAGGGTTGGTGTAAGTATATATACCTGTATAATTAGTCTCAATGTACATTTTGAAAATAGTTTAGGTATATTGTACCTCACCACTAAGAAAAATGATGTATGTAAATATTTTATAAAATATTTAGACATTATGAGGGTAGATATACTGGTACCCAGTGTGTCTAATATATACAGTATTGTTTAAACCTATCAACAAACACTTAATAATTTATGAATATAATCAATGTAAATTGATCTTGCTTTCGCAGCGGTCACTGATGGTCATTAGATGGCAGGTCACCATTGGTCATTTGCTTTAAGTTTTCCTGTAATTCACATTTTGCCTGACGTCTCGTCAATTTCTATGCTCATCACTCAATCTGCTCATATGCAATTGCTTAATTCCTACTACCTATTTGATTTTCTCGTTTATCAATTTCTTATAATTTTTCATATAATTTTTGCTTTATTCTTCACTATTTTTTTATCTTTTTAATTTATTCACTCCCAATACATCAAGCAACTTCACTCAATATCATTTGCAAACATGTATTTTAACTGCTGCACATCAATTTTTTTTCAATGAATTAAACAATTTTTTTCCCTGTTTTTCAAGAAAGCAAAAGCAATTTTTAAATGCACTATACAAGTGCACAACCATTGACCATTGACCCAAAAAATATCTAGAAGTGTATCTCCATACCAAAGTTAATTTCATGTGATTTACTATTATTTCATTGTGCATTAAGCAATTAGTAGACCTGCGCATAGCACACTAGCGAAAAATTATTATACGAAGGTCAGATGTACGGTTAGATGTGTATTACATTTAGCTGTGCATATGCTAATATGCTCCTGCTACACGCCAACACACAGTTAATCAGACTTACACATCACTTCAGATACGATGAATAGATTGTGTTTGAAGAACTTGTATGCTATTTTGACAGACGTTCGTCAATAAACATTTCTTAAAGCATTTAAGAGAGTACAGTAGGCCCTAATCACTTTTTGGTAAAATTGTGTGATGATTTCATATCTAGGATAGGCTACGATCTAGGCCTCAGTGGCTTCCTCCTAGGCAGTGGCGGCACCAGCGGGGGTGCTTAAGCCCCCATCGGTCTGGTCAAGCACCCCCATCGTCCAAAGCTCGTCGGGCAGTTGGACACAAAAAAAAAAAAATAGGCCTAGTTTTCCCATCCCAGCAATTTCCGGCCATCTAGAAGTCCCAATTTAAAAAAAAAAACTCATTTTGGGAGGAGGGGACACCCCCACACCCACTCCTGGCTCCGGCCTTCGTCCCTCAGATAACGCTGCGTGCTATAGTTACACCCATAAATACTTAGCCCCCCCCCTGATATCCTAGAGCCGCCACTGCTCCTAGACCTACATCTAATTTTGTTTATTGGATCTTTAAAATAGGTCTAGAATATTCCTATTCCCGTTTATTAGGGTCCATTGATTCAAGGAATTGAATTAATTTTTCATACTTAATATTGAATTTGAAGTAACTTTTTTTGGGTTATAATCAACCTTGTTTTACGAAAGTAATTTTTCAATTACCACTTGTGAACAAACAATGATTGGGCGATAATAATGACGATGATGATGATGATGATGATAATGATGATGATGACGATGATGATTATGATAATGGATAATATTATTATTAAAAATTGTGCTGAAGGCGAAAAGGAAAGTTGTGATTTATCCACCATAATAATTATAGTAGTTGAAGCTTAGTATATTTGGGCCCAAGTTGTCCTTAGTATTAAAGATCTCTATGGTTGCCTAAAATCTGATAAAAGATCATGAGAAATTTGTTGGCGCTTCATTATGACTATAATAATATGGTGATGTGCCAAATGATGATAAATTTTACTAATTAAAAGTGTCATTTCTGGCTATCTATGAGGTATTATTTCCTAAAATTTTCTCACCTCAGCCCCAACCACGGTAGGCTAAGGTGGTTGTAAAGTACATGCATTAAAGACAATGTTTTTAAGCTTTATCTTCTATGGTACATCACACACATTAATAAGATCTCTATGGTTGTCGAAAATCTGTGCTAAAAAATCATGAAAAATTTGATGGCGCTTTATTTTGACTATTATAATGGTGATATGATAATGATGAATTTTGCTAAAAGTGTCATTTTTGGCCATCTAGAAGAACTATTTTCTTAAATTTTCGCAACTCAGCCCCATCCACGGTGGGTCTGAGGTGGGTGTGGAAATGAAATGTCTCCCCACCTTTCAAAGCAGATCTGCGCCCTTCCCTGGGTATGACATTAAACTTCATCGAGTCGGCACGTGACTCAGAGTACAGTATGTCTAAGTAACTCCTATGGGGAAGGTGCATAAATTTTGTTTCCAGGATGTGATCTGGTTTTTCATGCCCATTTTCGTAATTATGACTACGTTTGATAAATAATCTTTTGAGCAGGTAGCAGTAGATTCAAGGTCCCCCCATCCCCTCCTAATTTTCTTTTAATGGAAAAATAGATAATTTGAAATTTAAGTCTGAGAGTATAATTTCTGGCCATATAGAGGTGCCCTAATCATAAATGTTCTTACCTTAGCCCCAACCATGGTGTTACTGAGGTGGGCGAGTTATTATAATTATTGTAAAGGCTTACTAATATTAGGCCTATTTGTGACCCAAGCTCACAAACAGGCTGTAAACTCGTCCTCAAGCCAAAATGAGTTCTTGTTATAATGGCATAGAACATATCATTTACTTTAAAATGACAGTTAAATGAACTCAATCAGGTGTCTAGAAGCAAAGTTATGACCGTTTGAATAATTGTCATCTTCTCAACTTTCTTAAATCAAGTTTTGAGAAAAATGCTTTTATTTTTGGCAATTTCCTATTCATTTTTACTAAATCCCATTTGAAAATGGCTAAATTTTGCCTTTTACATTTTGAATTTTAAACTCAAACTTCAGGAATAGGATTAATGATTATACTTTATTTAATACACAAAAACCCAATTCACACGAAATTCATATTTTATGGCATGTTATGGCTATTGAGGCTTGTTTCTCAACACAGTGCTGTGCGAGTTTACAGCCTGTTTGTGAGCTTGGGTCACATTTATGATGCGTTTATTGCAAATTTCACCTTATCCTCTCAAAACAGTCCCTAAACAAAATCTGCAAAATATTCTCTAATGTAGGAATGATTTTAGAATAAATTTGATTTCCTCTCATTTTATTCCAGAAGGGAGTCTAGTGTTCTATTTTCCGTACACAAAATTAATGAAGTGGAACTTGTAATAATGTAATGTAATGTACAGTAGATCGACTTATATAGTGCTTTGTACCGGAGTCTCAAAGCGCTGTGGACTAGCTCGTACTGTAACTTTCTTCTCCCCTAAGGGTCTTTTCATGTCTGAGCTTCCCGGTAAACCAGTACCAGCTACTTTCGTCCGTCCACAACAGGGGCTGTATGTGTATGGTTTGCTATAATTGTTGGCGTGTACAGTATTTTGAATGCCTGGACCTCATCATAAGGATGACAGAAAAGACAAAAGCTAAAGGAGGCGGAATACACTATATATATTGCAGTCAATATAATTAACATAAATAATAATACTTGGAAGAATTTCATCTAGTCTTTAGTTGAACTAGTATACTGTAAATGGTTTTTCAATATATCGACTAAATGTTTTGAAACATACATAACAGTTTTAGTCACTGACAGCTACCATTATCAAATGACTGGAATGTACAGGTTAAGCTACATCTCAAGCTTGCCGATTGGTGGCGCTGTGTCGGCCCTGCAACCACACCCGGGTGGGCCCATGCTTACATCAGATCACGCATGATTGGCCGACACAGCGCCACCAGTCGGCAAGCTGGAGATGTAGCTTAACCTGTACATTCCTGTCATTTGATAATGCTAGCTGTCAGCGACCGAAACTGCCATGTAAATTTCAAAACTTTTAGTCAATATATTGAAAAACCATTGACAGTACACAATAAATAATGGCAAAAACCAGAACCCTGCGGGTGTGTACGTTCCTTTGTACGCAAAAAA